CAAGGCTACACACACAGAGACCACACTTACACATCGACATACCCGCGTTATATCACAACTTGCGTGAACATTACGTCCCCATACACACAGGCGCACACACACACGTTTCTTCTTGTGTACCTGAAGCTAAAACCGTTTTCAGCAGGGTTGTAAATTCATCAGGTAGATGTGTGTGAAGGTGTGTGTGTGTGTGTGTGTAGCCGTGATAAATTGTCTCTATACATTGGTAATAAACATACATACAACATACTTTTCCAAAGGGAGTCGCCATGCGTCCAGCATGGTCAGAAGAGAGTTGTGTGCGTGTGTGTGTGTGTGTGTGTTCCCAACAGCCTCCCTCACAGAGAACCATAAATACAGCTACTTCAAACCTTTTATTGAGTCTGGACTCCTTGTTCCCATCCTTTATCCGCTCGTTTCCTCCTTTCACTGCTTCTCACTCTCTCTTTTTACAACAATTCTATTTCCTTGTTACTGCTCATCTTCTATCCTTCTCCCCCCCGTTTCTCTGATCTAATCGGCTGTATCCCTCTGCACTTCCTGCTACTTCACATCGTATCCGGCTCCTCACACCACATCTTCTGTCAAACCATTTCTTCCTACAGACTTCATGCAAAGCATCTTAGAATTCTGAAGAATTTTAAAATGTTCACAGCACAGAATAACGAATGGTTTCTGGCTTCCATTCATAAATAAATTGTACAGTGAAATTTCAGGCACCCTTGTCTCTACATACACTCATATCATAAGTTGAACTCAGAGTGAATGAGAAGAGGGAATGTAAAAGTACAAAAGTGATATTCAGGCAGGTGGAAGAATATGAATGAGGCTGAGAGCGAGAGAACGAGACACAAAGGAGCAGATACACAGGTGTGTGTGCGTGTGTGTGTGTCTATAATTGCATAACATGCAATGTAAGGGTTGCATGTGAAAAATGGGTCTCAATGCAGAAAGGGCTGATGCAGCATTACAATAAAGCACTCAGAGGCTGGTAAATGTACACAAACACACACAAAACACAGACAATAATATACATAAATGGTTTAGGATAGGAAGGATCCATAAACATACAGGTGTGCATTACAAACATCTATGTTAACGGACATAAACATGGCCTTAAGAGGTGCACCGTGGGAGATGAGGCCACATGCTCCAAACTAATAGTGGGGAAGGTTTTACGTCCATATACAGGATTCAGACACCATTTGTCATCGTTTATTAAAAAAGCCCAACTACTAATCTAGCAGCATATGCAAATACAAGCAACACCCTAACTGCTAATAATCTCTGAGTTGGTCATACAAACGCTGCTATCTGACCGCTTTCATGTGTGGGGGTGGCCTGTGGTGCACCGACCGGGAGCTTTCCTGCCCCCATTTAGACAAACCACCCAACATCACACACATCATGGATACGTTAAAATGTATTGACAAGAGCTCGAGGACGCTCTTCTTCCTCGTCCTCTCATGCTGGACTGAGGGTGGACGGGCGCTCCAGTAGATCTCTAAAACACAATGTCAACACAATGTGGCTCCGCTTTCCAACATGAATGCAGTCCCAATCTTACGCAGTGACTCCAGAGAGGGGAAGTCGCTTGAGGGAGGCAATAAAATGTGCCGCAGCAAGATTTCATCTGACCGGAACCTGGTGCAGACACACACCCTGCCCAGCCGGTCTGCATCACATAGCTTCACAGTGCTACACACACACACACACACACACTTCCTTCTTCATGCTTCCCTTGGGTATAATAAGTGCAGTAATGATGCTTAGCCATTACTTCATTGTGTGTGTGTGTCTGTGTGCATGCATGTATGTGTTTGTGTAACACTATTAGGGGTCTGTGTGGGGAGCAGATATTAGCATAAAGGATGGCTTCATATAGACTGTCCCTCAGTGAGAGACCTCCAGCACGTACACACATCTTTGTAGTAATGACCTATTCTGTCAAGCACACTGAACACTCCAAGTACACAATAATAAACTCCCAATTTGCTATGTAGTGGAGACGTTTAAGGTAGAACATAAGGGGAGGAGGAGACAGAGGAGAAAGAAAAGCAGAAAAAGAGCTGCATTTGTAGAGAAAAAAAATAATGAGGAAAAAAAACATGGAACGAGATTTAAGGACAAAGACGAAAGGACAAAGGGCACAGAGGCTCAAGAACAGTTACAGCAGATGAGAGAGAAACACCAAACAATTCCCAGAAACAGGAGACATCCGAGAGGATAAAGAGAGAGAGAAGAGACGCGGAGGACTTCTCCACTTCATTACAGCCGTCGCAGGATGCGGTGCATGACATCACAGTGCCCCCTATTGGCCGTCCGGATAATGCCAACACAACACAACATACAAGTTTTCCATTTTTGTCGCGCTTTATTTGGGGATTTGGTGGTGTCTACCGCCACAGTACACTGGCCGTGCAAAGTGATTGAGCTTTTGATGGATTTTAATTCAGGTTTTTATAGATTTTCTTCATTTGCTCAGATAGGTCTCATGAAAACAATTTGTGTGCGTGTGTGTGTGTGTGTGTGCGTGTGTGAGAAAGAACCACACACTATCATATACATGTATGTGTTGCTTTCTGTGTCCTCTCTTTGTCCTGTTTGATACACAGCTCATCGTGTATAGCTCTTATGAAGGTGGCTGCTATTTACGGGTAAAGAAATCAATACCCTTTAATTACATCCATACGCTCACATCACAAGATGGGTGGTAAGGTGCATGTACACAGTGCAATGTCTTAAGGCCTTTGATGCGATGAGGTAAACAGGGGCACTCAAATGATAGCAACCCCCTTCAGAAAGCAGCGGATTCGTAAAAACATCCACACACATCCATGCATACGACAAGCAACATTTGCTTCTCTGTCTGCAGTCACATTATACTGGCGATAATTCAAGCTCAACTATACTGCGGCTGAAGATTTATAAATGTAAAATGTGGTGAAGTGTACCCCAGTGTTAATTTTGGCAGCTATTTTTGATTTAGTCTTAGTCTTGTCTTTAGACGAAAAATGCATATTAGTTTTAGTCACATTTAGTAATTTTAATCCGTCTTAGTTTTAGTCTAGTTTTCGTTGACGAAAACGAAACTTTTTGACTCGCGGGCCACAATGGGTTGTAAAATGTGACGGAGGAGCCGGGCCAAGAACAAATGGTTGAAGTGTTTGTGTGAGCGAATATAAATGACATGTGAAAAATCACATGAAAGGATTTGGATTTTAACAAATAGCAAAGCATTTATTTGAAAGGCAATTTAACAAATTGGCAAAGGTGTAACAACTTCATGAGGACCAGGGACATAAACGCAACACTTTGTTGTCTTTGTCTGCTTACTTGCAAAACAGTGTGAAAGACAGAGAAAGAGGAAGGGACAGAATCAGAGGGACAGAAACCTGGGCTTGGATATGAGCTTTAACAGAATATCTGACTCCCCACTTTGTGTAGTATCTCGTACACCAACACAGACACACCGGTGTAACAGAAGCAGGCTCAGTTTAAACACTGCAGACATTCTGTCATAGGTGTCCACTGAAAAACTCATTTTCAGAGGGACTTTCGTGAAGTAGCTTCTAACGCAGACCTCCAATTTCTGTTTGCATTTTCCTGTTCTGATACACTTTGCACATGTCCTGCTGCCGTCAAGTCTCCCTATCTGCTCTCCTCCTCTCTCTCGATGTTCCCCGCTCGTTTTTCTCTCATAATCTTTGTCCCTCTCCTCTTCTCTACGATCCACGGTCTTGTTTGCTCTTCATCTCCCTCAGAGAGGAGCAGAATTCCCACCGCTATCTTGAAGCGCATGTAATCAGCAGCTTTCGGATCCCACGCACACAAACGCACACGTTCATATCTCAGCTAAGACATGACCTCCTCTCTCTTGCTTACCTTCTCACTCCATAATTCTCAATATTGTATGCACTAACATGGAAAAACACACACAAATATATTTATGCGTTGGTGAAATTAAATTCTCCAGAGCTGCAGAACTTCTCTTGTAACATAAAAGTGTCAACTGCAACACTTGGAGCTGTGTGCGGCTGCAATGTCTGTCAATGCCGAATATTTGGCTTTACCCCGGCTTTCATTTAAAACGCTGAAAAGGACTTTGATAAGATGCTTATTTCTATCACATAATGCTAACCATGAATATAGTTACTCTGAGGGTCGTAAACCAAAGTAGTATGCATATTTCAACTTAATGCTGATGGTTGTTATTACACTTCATCCTGTGAGGAACATGGCTCTCCACCAAAATTCCTGGCAATTCTTTTTTCTTTTTTTTTAAATGTCTTAGCCTGGATAAATGTGGTTAAAACAACCAATTGACAAACATTGCTAGCTCTAAAGCCTTTTCATCAGCGAGGCTGCAAAACACATCACGGCGTTTTGTACATTTCTTGCAAATTGCATTTTGGATGTTGAAAAAGCATTTGATGAAACAAGCAGATTTTGCCCTGAGTATGGAACATTCATGTCACGTAGTTTATGGGCGGGGGGGCGCTTTCAATTAATACTCAGACACACACTCATACGAGGATAGAGATGGCACGAGCAATCACACACACACACAAACACGTAGGCATCCAAACACCTTGGAGCCATCAAAGCTCAAAGAGGAGGCACACAAGTTAACAGATGACAGCAGTAGGGTGAAATCCAGACGTCCTTGCATACATAATGATTCGCAGTTTAAATTCTATTGAAGGCAGCTGGTTTGCTTTTAGGGAATACGACCTGGGGATGTTCTTGGAATAAACACACACACACACCGACATAATCACAGATGCTGGGAAGATGTTGGGTTCTATTCAAGCGCAGTGGGAGACGCTAGAAGCTTGCACGTATTTGTCTTTTTGCGGTCGGGTTGAGTAGGCATGTTTGTACTTGTGTGTGCATGAAACTGCAATGATGCACATGTCGCTACGCACCAGAAACACAAATGCAAACATGAGTGTATATTGTGTTTTATATACAATAGTGTTAAAAGGTGTTCAACCCACCTTTGCAATCAGGCTGAGGGGATCCCGGCAGGAAGGTGGCAGTGCTGACGCCCCTTCCTGCGCCAGGTCAGGTACTTCCTGTTGTACATACAGCTCCAGCATGGAGGCCAGCTGAGACAAGCCTTGTTTCTTGTTCTCAGACATGGAACTCAGGTCTGTAAAACAATGTTTGAAAAACAAGTACTATAATCATTTTCCCCCATCAACCAGTCGGTTTGGATCCACGTCTCTGAAAAACGTCTTAACTTTATAATTTGATCTGATTAAAAGTTGCTAAATTGTCGTGGCATATTAATTACAGCCCAAAAACGGGTTGTGTGAGGTCACAGTGAACCATAGAAATTGAATCAAGTCAACTCAAAAACATTAGGCGCACGCACGCACACGCACACACACACACGCAATGGAGGAGAGACTTACGTGATTCATGCTCCTCCAAAGTGTAGAGCTCCTCACTACTGCTCTTAGAAGGACTTAACTAGAAAGGAGAGCATATGAGTATGTTATTATAGTTTAACAGAAGTATACACACATTATGTGTGGCACTTACTGACATATGTTGTTGCTGTTGCATGCAGTCTTTTAGAAGCTAAGAAAAGCAGTTTTTTGTTTTTTTTAATCAATGCATTGATTTTCAAGAGGAGAAAGAGGAGTTTTCTTAAATGAACTTTGGTGCTTTAAATAGCAGAAATGAACGCATAGAATAACCCGTGAATCTGATGTTACAAAGTTTTCTTCACATGAATGTTACGTACATTTCCACTGCAACTATCAAAAGTGCAAAAGCCATTTAATAAAAAATAAGAAACATACCAAGGCAAAGATGAGTCGAGCAGCCAGACGGACTGAGTCAGTGGGAACTCTGGGTCGGAGGCTTTTCAGACATTTACACTCTGTCTTATGGCCGCACCATGCTTGTTTCTGCCAGAGAAGGGAATTTCAGTAAATTGATACACACACACACACACACACACACACACACACACACACACACACACACACCTGGCATGTGGTATTGCAGTAGCGAGCCATCTTGCACTGGGAACACCGCAACAAGTTCTCACGTCTGGACAGAAAGAGAGAAAAAACATTCGTTAATTCTGCTGGCGAGGCAGGAGATGTGAAAGCTTCACTCAACAAGTGAACGACTCAAGTGAGCTGGAGTGAAACCAACGATTTACATTTTAAAAATCACGGTTTTCAAGCTTTCCTTGCTCAAGTAGCACGTCAGCGATTGGAGAGAGACACTGTTCCACTGCGGAGTTTTATTTATGTTTTAGCAGCTACACTACAAAACATATGCACATGTCAGCTGAGGCATCCTGCATAATCCTTCCATTGTCCTGACCTTTTCCCAACAACGCCGTCTTATCCTCATCTATTTACTGTATCGAGTCATCCGCGTGCATCCGCCATCTGGTTGCATCTACCTACCCGATGGCTTTTAGATCGTCTAAGAGCAATACATTAGTGTCCCCTCACTGTCGCGGCCTGTTAGCATCACGGCGCGCTGCGCGTGTCTGAGCACCTTCGAGGTCTGCTTTGTTTCTCGGAGTGACACCGCTGTCCTTTCCGGTTTGCCCGTCAGTCTGGTAACAAGCGAATGCACGGCGGCGACAGTCTGCTTCAGACAGCCAATTACAGAGAGTAGTGAGAGCAACACTAAGAACGCACACACACAAGCACATTTAAGACACATTGTGAGTCACAGGAACTCAGTGGGAGTGTGTGTTTGTGCAAAATGTTGCCTGAAGTCGGCAGACTTGTTTAAACTCCCTTTTGACATTTTTAATAACACTAATAATAGGACAGAAAGACGATAAACATCCAAAACAATAGAAGATGAAATAAAACGGGGAACTTTGCGATGGCACGGTGCAATTTACACGTTCTAGTGCTTACAACCGGCAACCCAGAATGTTCTCCATCTTGCATGCATTTTGTGTGTGCTAAGGATTTCTCTGCATTACTAATGTCATTCCAGCATTGGAGCGAGAGCGCACAAGAGTAAGCCTCGGCAGAGGGGCCCGAGGCCGCCTCGGCATGAGCACATTCACACGGAGCAGTCACTCCGGGTGGTTCATCCTATGATGAGGCAAAGGGGGAGAAAATGAGAAAATACTGCTAATTACATCCGACAATGGAAGGCATTATGAGCATACACACAAAATAAGGTAATGGAGAACACGCTATGATGGATGATAACACATTTGCCCGGGGCTTATCGTACTGGATATGGGACATTTGATTAGATTGGACATACTTATAAATGCTGCGGATGACATTACGAGGACCTTAAAGGCAAAAGCGACGTATAATGTGAACACACAATCTCTCACACACACACACACACACACCGTGCGTCCGACAGAGGGCTGTTGCCTGTTAATATCAGCGTCAGAAGTTAAGTGTTCCTCAGACCTTTTCAGTGCGCCACCAGATTGGTCTGTTGTATTTGGCCTGAGGCCCTCGCCCAGCCTCAACAAGTTTCCCCACCACGCGCCGTCATTTCGGCCTTTCCCACTCGCCCCTTGTAGTTTCTGTAATTTACAGCTTCCCACTGCATCAGCCTCCTCCCGTGCCTCATCCTACCCAGCATGTTTTGCGCTGCTGTGTCTTATTAGCGATGACCTTTCCCGCCTGGAATCCAATAGTTAAATTTATAGTCCCCCGCTGGTAGGTTCGTAAAAACACAGCTATTCCCGTCAGGTTGAGAGCCACCAGAGACGGCGGAGCCACCCACGGTTTAAGAAACACAAGCCTGCAGTGCGGGACGCGATGCAATAACAAAAGATAGGGGCCGGCCAGACCTAAACACAGCCGGGTGCTGTGCAGCTTCAAGTGGTTGACCGGAGGACATTACTCAGACACTAAGAGTTCGGTCACATCACAAGCTGCAGGAAGTCCATCCATCTTCCAGCAGCGCCGACACCGACCATGACACCCAGTTCGAAACGTGTTCCCTGCAGCTTCACTTTGAGGGAAATGCTGCCCTTCAGAAAGCCGTAACAAGCTGTAAGAGCTGTGCCGTGTTTGTGTATTGGTTGTTTATATATCAGTTATTGTAGCTCTGCAGCACTAAACCTTCAGAGATGGGTTTAAAGATGCAAATATTATTTTATATTTTGAAAAAGCAAATCTTTGGATACGTCCCAGAACTACTATAAAATTCATGAACATATCAGCGTGGAACGATGTTGATGTAACGGTTGTAAATAATGTTCTGGAGTGAAAAGACCCGGAAGCAACACAACGTCTGTCCAGAAATGGGCCTCTGATGATCACGGCCACGAGACGATATCTGTGCGATTCTGTTTAATGAGCGACAGGCTTGTGAAGGCTGCGTGAAAATCAACGAGCAGAACGAGTTAATTGGCATTATTGAGTTTCCATGACTGCTGCGTCAATGTGATGAAGATCTGACAGATCTTTTAGTTCACTTGATCGGCCAAGAACAGGCATTACAATTTGGTTCTTTTATTTGAACTCATATTGACTTACCAAAAAATACCACATGTTTATCATTACCACTGTTAATTCTCATAGCAATGAACTAGAGATTCAATAACTAAGTCTCTGAGAGGAGAGAGAGGTACAGGAAGACAAACAGGCAGAAACCCACTCGGTTTGTATCAGTCCAGTACTATATATATATGTAGTTACTGAGTACTATACATTATATATATATATATATATATATATATACACACTTCAACCGAACGCGGGCCAGACTAGCGTCCGAACGGCATGGTCGACAATAACACAACTTAACACTCACTTTCAAAAGCAGTCATTGAACCCCACCCTGGGGGATCGGTCCGAATGAGACTACAACACTAGTCCTCCTTTAACTCAGCGGGGGAGACCTAAGGTCATGTGACCGTGGAATTCCTTTATAGCCAAACGTGAAGTTACGTGAATCGAAGCTGCGTAGTAATGGACGGAGACGCTCGTCGGTGACGTCAGATGCTTCATGTGTTGTTAGTGTGAGTCGTAAAGGAAAACTTTGTTAAACGAGCGATGCTAACGGTTAGTCACATGATCACCTGCGCGAAAGAGGGCAGGAAACATTTCACCCTCCTGCTCTCTGCACCTCGGCCGACACACACGACCCGCCCCCCATGTCAGTCACATGCATGCCACGTTCACTGGACAAGCACACAGTAGGAAACCAGAACATTATAACATGTCCCACACAGCAGCTGACAGTGGGGTTACAGTATAAAACTTGCGGGCCGCACTAACATTACACTTTCATATTAAGGATGGGGCCACAAAATATCGTCCCGAGGGCCGCAATTGGCCCGCGGGCCGCGAGTTTGAGACCCCTGCTCTATACATTGTTAATGTGGTAAATGACTATTCTAGGTGGAAAAGTCTGTTTTTTAATGAAATATCTATATAGGTGTATCACTCCAGTGTTCTACTGGTACATTGTGTTTGCTGATCGCCTTAGAAGACTAATGGATGATTAGAAAACCCTGGTGCAAATATGTTAGCACAGCTGAAAACAGTTCTGCTGGTGAAAGAAGCTATAAAACTGACTTCCTTTGAGTTAGTGGAGTATCTGGAGCATCACATTTGTGGCTTCGATTATACTCGGACAGAAAAAGAGAACTTTCATGTGAAACTCACCGGTCTATTCTCCTTAGAAATGAAGGCTATTCCATTCGAGAAATTGCGAAGAAACTGAAAATGGTGTGAACTACTCCCTTCAGACAACAGCACAAACGGGCTGTGACCAGAGTAGAAGGAGAAGCAAAACGCCAGTGTCAACGTCCACAGAGGCAACTCCGGGATGCTGGCCTTCTAGGCAGAGTGGCAAAGAAAAAGCCAATAAAAAGAAAAGAATTGATATGGGCAAAAAAACACAGACAGGAAGATTGGAAAAGAGTGTTATGGACAGACGAATCAAAGTTTGAGGTGTTTGGATCACACAGAAGAACATTTGTGAGACGCAGAAGAGGTAAAAAGATGCTGCAAGAGTGCATGACGCCATCGGTCAATCACGGTGGAGGGGATGTGATGGTCTGGTGCCTCTTTGGTGCTGGTGAGGTGGGAGATTTGAACAAAGGTAATAGGGATTTGAAATAATGAAGGCTGTCAGTTGCCATGCCGTACCCCGTGGACGGCGCTTGATTGGAGCCAATGTCCTCCTACAACAGGACAATGACCCAAAGCACACCCCCAAATTATGCCAGAACTATTTAGGGAAGAGGCAGGCAGCTGGTGTGCTGTCTGTACTGGAGAGGCTACAAAGTCACCACATCTCAACCCCATCGAGCTGCTGCGGGAGCAGCTTGTCCGTGTGGTACGCAGGACGTGCCCATCCAGCCCATCCAACTTGTGGGAGGTGCGTCAGGAAGCGTAGGGGGAATTTTCTACAGATTACCTCAACAAATGAACAGCTAGAATGCAAAAGGTCTGCAATGCTGTAGTTGTCTGCAAATGGAGCATTCTTTGACGAAAGCAAAGTTTGACAAACAAAATGAATATTTTCAAATGAGTACGCCAGATGTTATCGGTAAGTCATTTCCTCTGATATGACAGATGGAGATGACGCTGTAGTTCTGGCCACAGCGACCCACGACTTCCTAGTTCAGCAAACTGTTCTTCCGAAGGACAAACAGAGAAACAACACCCACATACATTCTTCATAAGCCACACACATTATTCCTTGATCCAAATGCACGTAGACGAATCATTTCTGGCCTGCAGGCAACAACCGAAGGAAGCAAAACAAACTGAAAAAGACCACAAGAAATATATATTAACATCGTTATATTGGGGTTTTTTTCACTGCATTAGTACCCAATGATACGCAAAATCATTTTTGAGAGATTAGGATTTCTCTGATGAAGAACATTGGCCTCAGTTCTCGCACTCTGTTCCTCTTTTCCTTTAATCATCCTCTGCCCGCTCTCCATCCTTTCCTCTCCCTCTTGCTTTCTTCCTGCCGCCTTTGTGTCCGCCCTTCTCCTCAGATGTGTCAGATGTCGTGTGAGGTGATGGTCTTGTGGATGGCAGGTCCAAGGTTGGACTGCAGGCACAGTAGGAGACCTCATG